TGTCGAGCGAAGAGGCGACCCGCGTGCCGGCTCCCCCGGGGTCTCTCTCCTCTGCAACTCCGCGTCTCTCGCCGCGCCCTCCGTTCGCAGAGCGGCGGTCGCGCCGAGAGCACCACGCCACGCGCAAAATTCTCGCTTCCCTCTCTCCTACCCTCGTCCTCTTCCTCCACGCAGCATCGTTTCACTTTCACCAACATCCCGGCCGAGGCCGCTGCCTCTTAGCCGAGAGCGGGCCGAGTCCCCCGAGGCCAACGTCTCGAGCAGAGATCCTGCACCCCGCGACTGCACGGGAGCGCCGCGCCGGATCAGCGGCGATTACGCGAGCACATTCACTGCGAGGAGGTGGGGGAACGAGGTGAGGGAACGAGGCGCCTGTGTTGTGTCTCGGGTGCGCCTCGCCGTATCGCGGTTGAGCAAACAAACCGCGAGTTCAGGCTCGGGCCGTGGTGGGTAGCGACGTGTCCGTGTGCTGCCGTAGCGGCAGCATCGCAAGGCAGTGTTTAATTAGAGGCTGCGGTTTCACGAGCGGTCGCCATTCATTCATTCGCATGCCAGTGCCACCGTGAGTTGTGGCGCAGTAATTCAGGGATGGGAGCCGTGAGGTCGGTCCGGCTCGCCGCCGTGAATTCTCGACGATTCCCAGGGGAGTGCGGGGTGCGCTACGCTGGCAAGGGCCGTGAGCTTTTGTAAATCGGCACGGAATGTGGCGCGTCCAGGAGGAACTTACATGAGCACTGTGAAGTGAAATAAGGAATCATCATCTTCTTGGTTCTTTCGGTAAAGTAACGTAGAAGGGAAGTAATAAAATAATAAAAATAAAACATAATAAAATAATTCTCACGACGTTTCGGCCACAACGCAAGCAGCCGTCCTCAGGTGAAGAACAGGTCTGTCGGGGAGACAGCGTCTGAAATTCAGACGTCTGAAATTCAGACGCTGTCCTCAGGTGAAGAAGACCTGAAGACCTGGTGAATACCAGGTCTTCACCTGAGGACGGCTGCTTGCATTGTGGCCGAAACGTCGTGATAATAATTAAATTATGTTTTATTTTAATTATTTTATTATTTCCATTCTACGTGACTTTACCGAAAGAACCAAGAAGATGAATCCCTGCAGTCACGAAAGCTTTAAATCGAAAAGGAATCATCAGTGACACAGTATACTCAAGATTCCCTCCACATGCATACACACTTGCCATGGAGTCAACATTGGGGGGGACCAAATCTTCCAGGGGATCTGGGGGTCCCCCCCCCCCAGAAAAAAAATCTAAATTTGAAAACGAATTTCCTGCCTAAAATATTGAAAAAGTTCCCTAACACATGGGATGGACTTTATTTATTTTTTAAAATAATGTCTAATAGTTTCGATTTAAAGCTTTCGTGACTGCAGGGATTCATCTTCTTGGTTCTTTCGGTAAAGTCACGTAGAAGGGAAATAATAAAATAATAAAAATAAAGACTAATAGTGTATTGCTCCGTTTTTTATTACGTAATAAAATATTTTATTATGTTTTATTTGATTATTTTTTATTGTTTCCATTCTACGTGACTTTACCGAAAGAACCAAGAAGATGAGACCTTGAACGATCACGAACTTCTCAATGGGCACTCGGTGGTTCACGGGGGTCCTTGAATCGGTGAATTTGTCGGGCGTGGCCAGGACTCGATTTGGAGTACGGCATGCCAACCACCGCGCCACCGCGCGGGAGATGTTCCCGGTTTGGGGATGAAGTGGCAGTGAGATCAGAGCCGATCCGCAGATACCGAGAAAGCCGTCACCCCGGTTGGACCCCGCATATCATCGCTGTTTAACAACAGGGGTCGTGGAGATGAGGTTACCAGATAATGGGAGGCAGAGTGGCGCTGCAGTGGTAACGCTTGTGCCTCGCCGCAAGAATAACCTGAGTTCGACTTCCCGAATCGAGCGAATTTCTGTGCCGAGTCTGCATATTCTCACCCTGTTCTGCACGGGTTTCCTGCGGGCACTCGCTGTTTCCTCCCATAGCTAAATAAACAACACACAGGGTAACTGGTATTGGCCAAACAACATCGCAATCCTGAAAAAACAACACTGCAACTTACTCCACTGGGATTACAGGCAGAAGCAGCAACATCGGCCCCGACTGCGGAAACTTGGCACCACCGCAGAGTTGAGACTTGTCGAGGTTTTCCTGGGTGAGCGGGCGGCATAGTAACCAGCAAAGTGACCACGACATTCGGACTGAACGAGCCCTACCTGGCCTGCTCGTGCGCGTCACGCCGGCTGGCTCTGTGCGGAACTCACCGCCAAATCGCCTCCAGCACAAAGGTGCGGCTGGAGCCTCGCCCCTCCGCCTCACCCGCCGCGCTCAGGGCAACAACTCCGCATCCTCTCTGCGCTTTAGTCAATTGCCTCCGAAGCGAATGACGTCAGTCAATTAACTTTAGCATCTCTGCTTTTCCGTGTTGCTGCAGGTTATTCGTTGTTCCTTGTGTCGTCACCATTGGCGATCCTGCAGGGTCGTGCGGGAATTCACCGAGCCCTGCCCCGTACACGAGCAAGCGGCACTTGCATACTCTCTGGCGTTGTCATTTCCCTGCTGCTGCGACTGCGTGTGTCCTCGACTCCACGTGCTCATCGTTCTGCCTCTCAGTGCCATTCCAAGCGTGCGCCTCTCCCGTGCTCCCTTGCAGATGTGGTTCCAATTCCTTTCACCGTCTCCGTGCCCATAGGCCATCTCTCTTGCCGGGCAATGCGCAACCGTTTGAACACTGAGAACGTCGTGGATTTTCAGGGCCCATTCAGGAGTCTTCGCCCCTGTAATCTGCGCAGCCTTGAGCTCTGCTGCCACCCACTGGTCACGGCTCGTCACCCAACTCGGCACGTGTCCATCGTGAAGCAGTCGCGAGGAGTGGGTTAGGGCAGCGGTCCCCAACCTTTTTGGCACCAGGGACCGGTTTCGTGGAAGACAATTTTTTCACAGACCGGGGGGAGGGGGGGGGGGGTCATCATTGGGTCTTTCCCCCTTTTCAAAGAAGTTCTCTAGCGACGTTTTTTTTACTCATTGTGGCTACTAGGGGTTAGAGCTTGTGGGCTCACCAACACTGTGACTGAGACAAGTGCGCAGTGCGGGAAAGAGGCGCGGATGGAAGTGGTCAATAATAAAATAATGGGGGCGGGCCACGCGCGGACTCACCGCTCTCACCTCCTGCTGCTGTGCGGCCCGGTTCCTAACAGGCCACGGACCTGTAGCGGTTCGCGGCCCGGGGGTTGGGGACCCCTGGGTCAGGGGTTGACCCGGACAGCCTGACCCTTGGCAGGGGTTGAACCGGACAGCCTGGCCCTCGGCCCTTGTGGCCGGGCTGCAGCAGTGAAACGACACAGCGATTGACTCTCATCCCTGGATGGTGATGTCGATGATTGTTTGTAGGTCTTGGGGGCCAGGCAATGTCATCTCCGTGTCTCAACACCCCGCACCGCCACGCTCTCTTGAGTTGAAATCTCAGTCTCGCATTCCGCGCGCCTCTTTCTCCCACGCCGTTTCGTTTGTCTCGGTTCGAGCCCGGGTCAAGAGGTTCCTCCATGATGGGGCCCTGCCAGATCCTTTCGGCGGGAGGGGTACGCGTTGTTTTGAGTTGGAGGTGTAATCCACGTGGTGGTGGTGGCTACTCTGCACGTGATCCTCCAGCGCTGTCAAGGCAGCAGCGAGGGTTGGTGGATCACGCACAGATGGGCTGTGAAGCTCCCTTCCCGTGGCGCGTCGAGGAGGAGCCGTAGCCTGGCTCACCAGCAGGCACTACAACAGGAATGTCGATACAATCGCTGTATCACTGCCACACCGAAGGAGTGTGTAAACGTTTTTTTTTTCACTTAAACGCAAAAGCGTCAACAACAATGCGACAGCTGATGTGTTGAGTTGGCCATGGGGATGGTGATTCTACAGTCGCCGTGTAGCCTGAAGAAGGCTGTCTCTCAGCTCGGGTTAGCCTTGAGTTCAGCGACCGAAATTCTATAGACCCAGTGTCGCGTATGTGGCAAGTCGATATTAATGGCCTTGGCATTATTTCCAAGCAAGGCCGTAATTATAATATTTATTGGGGAGGACACATCCTCCCCAATATTCAAATACGCTCAAAATGCCCCCCCCCCAATATATTGCTATAAACAATATTTTAAAAAAACAATTGCTATGCTATGGAAATATAAATAACAATTTGCTAAACCTTGGCCACAATATCTGGACTTGTCTTCATATAACAATGCATAGATTTCTGTTCATATGATTGTGGTTGTACTTAATTAATCCCTGATTTCTGCCATTACATACCATGAAACAAGAAAAGGTAAAAAAAACAGAGCAATGTAATACAATACACTATTAGACATTGTTGTAAAAAATAAATAAAAAGTCCATCCCATGTGTTAGTGATTTTTTTTTATATTTTAGGCAGGAAATTAGTTTTCAAATTTAGATTTTTTTTTCGGGGGGGGGGGGACCCCTAGACCCCCTGGAAGATTTGGTCCCCCCCAATGTTGACTCCATGGCTACGGCCTTGTTTCCAAGACATCGCAATCAACCTTTACACCGTAAATTCAACGTAGTTTACACAGACTAGTTCGCCTCTTCGACGTAAGAGTGGGCAGGCCATGTGGCCGCCGTGGTGGGTGCACGGCGGACCGCCAGGACGCACCCTCAGCCGATGAACGTCGCCCTGACGTTAGCGCGTTCGGGTTTGAGAGCACCGAGCGCAAAAAACAACCACCCCAGCTTCACCGACGAGAGGCGAGGGGCGCGGCGACCGCCACGAGCCCTCGGCTGGCTCCACTCACGACTCAAGAGGAACCCGTTGCGCTGAAACGAACTTATTGCGTTTGTCCTGTGCCCTTCGACACTTCACGTGGCCTCAATGTGCACCGCGCTTAGTGGCGAATCGCGGCGGTTGCTGCTGCGGTGGCCGTAGCTCTCCGTCGTGTTCATTCGTTTTGCTGCTCGCGCCGTCGTCCGTCCGTCCGTCTGCCAGGTGGCCCAGGCACGTGCTGAGAAAGGGTTACAAGCATCGGATCGAGCGCTCGGACATCTACCGGACTCCCCTGCAGGACCAGGCGGACACGCTCTCCGAGAGGCTCGAGAGGTAGGGCCCGCACTCGGCTCCTTGTCGAGGATGAGGCAACGACGATAAACGTCGAACCCGGGCCAGAGTTTGCTTGCGTTGAACCAATGCCGCTGATATAGTTTGACTCCCGGCAAGGCTGTGTGGCTGATGAGACGCGTGAAAGACGCTTTAGTATTTGACGTGGAGGGACAGATATGGGATGCATACGTGTTGCTGCTTGTTCGCTTTAGGGGCCGTCCATAAATGACGTCACGCGATTTTGGACGATTTTTGACCCCCCCCCCCCCCGCCTTCGTCACACGGCGTCACAGAAAGTCAGACCCCCCCCCCCCTCAAATATGACGTCACAAAGCTCTGCCCCCCCCCCCGCCCCAAAAAATAAAACATGCTTCAAATCGCTTTAAATTATTGTCATCGTAGTGCGTATTTAATGTGGCGCTGCACTCTGATGTTGTAGGAGAAAACATTTATTAAAACGTCTATTTAATTAAGTAGAACGTGTTGTCTATATTTATTTAAAGTTGCGCATTTTGATGTGACGTCACATTTCTCAACCCCCCCCTTCTCGTCACACATTGTCACAAATTTCGATTTAAAGCTTCTTTCGTGACTGCAGGGATTCATCTTCTTGGTTCTTTCGGTAAAGTCACGTAGAATGGAAATTAAAGAATAATAAAAAAACTAATAAAATAAATCATACTAAAATATTAAATGTTATATTTTTATTATTTTATTATTTCCATTCTACGTGACTTTACCGAAAGAACCAAGAAGATCGTCACAAATGTCTGACCCCCCACCTAGGTGCGTGACGTCATTTATGGACGGCCCCTTATTGCAATGATTAGGTGCTCTGTACCGTTTATTTTTGTGTCGGCCACGACTGATAACGGCGATGGCCGATGATCCGACTTGACCGCTCCTCTCTCTCTCTCTGTCCGCCCGCAGGGAATGGGACAGAGAAATCTCGCAGTCAGAAAACCGCCCTCACCTGCTCACCGCGATTCGCCGGTGCTTCCTGTGGCGCTTCGTGGGCCTGGGCGTCATCATGCTCCTCGCGGTCAGTGGAGGCCCCTGTTGGCACCGTGCTTGTGTGTCAGTCAACCAATCTTTATTCATAATAAAGGTTTTTTGGGTGAGATCGCGTTGTTTATAAATGTGTCGCAACCCTCCACCGCCCGACACGGACAATCAGAAAAATGCGTCACGTTGACAAAAGACAAATCTACACCATTGGAACCTCATTTGCCAGTGAAAAATATGATAATTGGGTTTTTACCCTTCTATCTGGCAACAAAACTGACACCTTTTTTACAAGTTGTCATGTTTGCATAGACCAAAATACCTGCAGTCATAATGCAAACAAAAAACAAAAAACATAACTCTGATAATGTATGCACTGTCCTTGAGGTTGATTGGCGTCATCTGGTCCAACCCATGTGAGACTAGGCTCTAAGGAAAGCTGTCTCGGGTGTGGACCAATCAACTTCAAGGACAGTGCATACAGTATATTATCAGAGTTGTGTTTTTTGTTTGCATTATGACTGCAGGTATTGTGGTCTATGCATACATGACTCCTCGTAAAAATGGTGTCAGTTTTGTTGCCAGATAGAAGGGTAAAAACCCAATTATCAAAAGACAAATCGTTCACTAATTTAGCCTACCGGTGTGTTGAAGAGCGATTCCACAACATTTACAATTTGAGTAGTCCGACGTTTCGCTGGAAATTACATCCAGCATCTTCGGGCGAATTGCCAAAACAGTGAAGTCATCCACCTGCTCCCGGTCTCAAATAGTGCGGGATGACGTCATCATTGTTGAACCCCATCAGGATTCGAGATCAGAGGTAGGGGTGGGGGTCTATGCAATTAACTAATAGATCAATAATCAGCCACTTCGCATGTGACTCACCGGTAAGGAATTGCAATATGTGTTGTGTATTACTTAATAATACGCTTCCATGCTGCGCTGAGTCTATAGCTATCACAGCGGTTGAAATTATTTGAAATTTTCTCAATTTCAATGGATTCTCTAACTAATCTTAACCAGTAATAACATTCTCAAAATCAATTGAATGTCCTTATTGGCAAGCATGCTCTGCCACTGCTGACAGCTGTGTTTGGGATAATTTAATGTTCCTTTGATGTTCTTTTAGGCTTACGCTAATGTTACGTCCCGTCTGTCCAATATAACACTTACCGCATAAGCAATTGATCCGATATACACCTTCAGTTGATAACTTCGATAATTCATCTTTACATTTCCAGCGTAACGTCGTACTCAAATTGTAAATGTTGTTGTGGATTCCCTCTTCAACACACCGGTGGGCAAAAAATATTGAACTATTTGTCTTTTGTCAACGTGACACATTTTTTCTGATTGGCCGTGTCGGGTGGTGGAGGGTTGTGACACATTTATAAATAACGCGATCTAACCCAATAAACATTTATTATGAATAATACTGGTTGCGAATGCCTACGTGTTAACACATTCCTGCGGAGGGAGCTGGTAGGAACGTTTGGTTGCTCGGTCAATGGCCAGGGTCAACGGCGGCGTGGTGTATTCCGCAAATATGCCCGACTGTGAGGGCGGGCACAAGCCGGCGTGAGTAGGTTAAACGTTGATTTTATAAGAGCACCACGGGGTGACCAGCCCCTCCCCACCCAGCCCCACCCTCCCACCCCCCACCCAGCCCCACCCTCCCCACCCAACCCCTCCCCACCCTCCCCTCCCCACCCAGCCCCACCCTCTCCCTGCACGACGGACACAATAATCCCCTGTGGGCTGGTGTAACCAGGAGGTTCCTACCAGTACTAACCAATCATTACTGTACGTGCCAATATCGTCCTCAATAGAGTAGGCATCGATGCACATTACAGCAGAACGGCAACAATACCGGGGCATGCCATTTAGAGCACCAACTCAAGCGTGCCTGCATCCCGTAAGCGCCTACAACACAATGTGGATTGGTTAATCATCAGTTGTTATCATCGCCATTATAATTTCGCCTGTATTTCGATTCCACTCTATTCTCACGCGTGGCGGCAGCAGCAGCAGCAGCAGCGCTGTGGTTCAGGAGCTCAAGGCCAATGGGGAGGTCCTGCTGCTGCTGTTGATGGTCACGACGAGAGGGCTTCAGCAGAGAGAGTCGGTGGATTTCGATTTAAAGCTTTCGTGACTGCAGGGATTCATCTTCTTGGTTCTTTCGGTAAAGTCACGTGGAAGGGAAATAATAAAATAATACAAATAAAACATAATAAAATCATTCTCACGACGTTTCGGCCACAACGCAAGCAGCCGTCCTCAGGTGAAACCCCCCCCCTTCCAACCCAGCTTAAATATACGCTCCAAGCAATGTGCTGTTTCATTCAGACGCTATCGCCTCGACAGACTTGGTTTTCACCTGAGGACGGCTGCTTGCGTTGTGGCCGAAACGTCGTGAGAATTATTTTATTATGTTTTATTTTTATTATTTTATTACTTCCCTTCTACGTGACTTTACCGAAAGAACCAAGAAGAGTTGGTGGAGTTCTTGCTGCTGCTGCTGCTCCTACTTTGTTGAGCGAGCGCAGACCGCACTGGTTCACTGTCCGTGGTGTCCCGTGCCCCCTCTAGGACGTTGAAAGTCGTACGGCGTCGATGCGAATGCATTTATATCAAGTTAACCGCAAATTCCACTTGGCAGCAACGACATCATAACCATCATCATTACCCCGCACACTTGTTGACCGGACCTTGAATCAGAAAAACGAACATTAAAAATAAAAACGCGCGATTTGATCATTAATCAAAAGATGTCGCTGCAAACGACGTTGCTCGAGTTTCACGCAAGAGACTGTCGTCGTGCCGCGCCCCTCCGCCGCGTCTCTCAGGAGTTCACCAAAGTGGTGCAGCCCTTCTTCCTGGGCCAGATCATCGCCTCCTTCAACCCGAGCACCGTCGACGTGCAGGAGCCGCTGCTGCTGGCGCTGGGGCTGAGCGCGTGCTTCGTCCTGAGAACGCTGCTGCTGCACCCCGCTGTGTTCGGGCTCCAGCACCTGGGTATGGACGTGCGGATTGCCACCTTCTGCCTCATTTACAAGAAGGTGCGCACGGCGGCGGTGGTGGGCCCCCTCCCTTGGCGTGGGGACGAGACGCGCGTGCCCCCCCCCCCTCCCCCGATGGTACATGTTGTTTATATTCTTAGGTTATTTTAATTTTTTCACATAGGTAAAAAATTTAAATAAAATAAAAAACATGTTGTTTACGCTATTTATTGTGAAAATTCCGTCACAGTTCTTATGATCACTGTTTCATTGCTTTCATGGCTTTATTTTGGTGATTTCGAAAAGTGTATTGGTTTATTTCGATTTAAAGCTTTCGTGACTGCAGGGATTCATCTTTTTGGTTCTTTCGGTAAAGTCACGTAGAAGGGAAGTAATAAAAGAATAAAAAATAAAACATAATAAAATAATATAATAATATAATAAAGTAATATAATAAAACAATATAATAAAATTATTTTATTATATTGTTTTATTTTTATTACTTTATTACTTCCCTTCTACGTGACTTTACCGAAAGAACCAAGAAGATGTATTGATTTAGCCATGTTTGTTTGTTGTAGTACGGAGTAAGACTGATGGCCTTAATCTAAGTTGTCTTGTGGTTGTTGTTGGTTGTTTGACTTGCATCCCACTGGGATTTTTGCACACAGCGTTGGTGTATGGTGATTTGTTTTTCTGCAATATTTTGCTGTCTTTTCTTGGATTTTCTGTTTGCACTTAGTCACATATTCACTTTAAGATGTTTTTGTTCGTGTTTTTTGTTTGTTGCGGTTGCACCCGATTCAAGAGCCAAATGGCTCACAGGGCTATACCTAATAAATGAAACTTGAAATGAACTTGAACTTGATGGCCCTGGAGCCGAAGGTCGGTGGATCAGAGAAGATTGTGTGGGTGGGAGGAGGGGGGTGGTGGGGGGTTACAAGGTGGGCCGGAGATGGCAGCACAGTGAACGCGTGTTTTTGAAGCCGTGCCGAGTTTGCATGTCCTCCCTCTGGTCTGCGAGAATGTCGTCTGGATTCTCCCATTTAGTCCCAAAGCTAAACAACAACAAATAAACCAAATGCAATGTCACCGGTATTGGCCAAACATCCGGGTGCTAAAAACGCCATGCAAATTACGCAATTGGGATCACACACAATAGCATCATCGCCCGCTATTGCAAAGCTTGATACTCTCCTGCGCCGACAAGATTATCGATAATAATAATACTGATACAATTGAAAATTTTAATAAAACATAAAATCAAAGGGAAGCGATAAATGTAACAAAGGGCTTAGTGATGTTTGATCTTTGCTCCGGTTTTACTGACCTTATCGTTGACGGATAACCTCGGGGGGCAGCCGTGAGTATTTTATGGCAGTCCGCGTGGGATGGCTGTAAACCTCTGCAAACGGTGGCAATCGCACCCTCTCTGCGGTGTTGTCGCTGCACACTTGAACCGAGCGTCTGATTCTTTGGTTCTTTCGGTAAAGTCACGTATAAAGATAAAATAATAAATTAAATAATAGCATACGACGTTTCGATTGCAACACAAGCAATCGTCGTCAGGTATAAATGAAATAGCGACACAAAATCTAACCAGAAAACTATAGACAGACATATAAGCAGACAGATATCACCAAGATACACAGAGAGAGTAACACAGGTACAGAGAGGGAGATCGTCTCTGTGGGGTGGCCTTAAATAGACAGAGGGGGGGCGGAGGCAGAGAGAGGGAGGGGTTGGAGAAAAAAAATACATATCTGTCTATAGTTTTCTGGTTAGATTTTTTGTTGCTATTTCATTTATACCTGATGATGATTGCTTGTGTTGCAATCGAAACGTCGTATGCTATTATTTAATTTATTATTTTATCTTTATACGTGACTTTACCGAAAGAACCAAAGAATAATTCCTGCAGTCACGAAAGCTCCAAAATTAAGAACGAGCGTCTGATCTATGCGAAGGGCGAATTAGCGCTGATTCGTGCCGATGTCGGTAACTCTCCGTCGCTGCCCCTCGTGCGTCCAGACGGCCAATGTCGGCGACGAGCCGTCACGTGGCCAGTACCGATGTGCCGTGAGGCGGCACTCGGTCGAGAGCAGATAAAAGGGTAATAATAGAAATAAAATAATAAATCACGAAGTTTCGGAGGCAATACAAGTCTCCTTCATCAGGTGGGACCGTCACAGCCAGATTTACTGTATCAAGTGAAGCAAAAATTCCAAGATACAAGTTCTTAAATACAAGTTAAGGGGGGAGGAGGGGGGGGGGGGCTTATCTGAATGTGGTAGCCAATTAATGGATTTATCCATAATCGTCACTGGGTGTTGGCCGTGAGCGGGAATCGAACCTGGGTCGCCAGGTTCATAACGCAGCGCGCTAACCGCTACACTACCGCTCCCCACCGCTACGGGACAGGCACACACACTCACACACCCGCGCTGTTCTAACATCACCGTACCCTCGCAGATCATGAAGCTCTCAAGCAGCGTCTTGGATAAGATCACCGTGGGACAGCTGGTCAGCTTGCTGTCGAACAACCTGAACAAGTTTGATGAGGTATTGACCTCTTCGTAGCCTCTCAGGGTCGTGGTGACATCCTCACGAGATGGATGGCTGTGATTCCCGTGAGCCGTTTGCCATATTCATGCTGACGGAGGAACATTTTCCAATTCCTGAATGGGTCCATCTTCTTGGTTCTTTCGGTAAAGTCACGTAGAAGGGAAATAATAAAATAATAAGAATAAAACATAATATTATTTTATTATGTTTTATATTATTATTTTATTATTTCCCTTCTATGTAATGTTTTGTTTTTATTATTTTATTATTTCCCTTTTACGTAACTTTACCAAAAGAACCAAGAAGACGAATCCCTGCAGTCACGAAAGCTTTAAATCGAAATCCTGAATGGGTCCTTACATGTTTGCTATGCAAGTGTGTCATCTCCAATGGCATGACACTGGGACGACGTGCTGGACAGACAGGAGGAGTGGGGGTTAGACTACGTGCGAGTGCTAGACCTCGTGTCATGCCGACTGTCAATCAGAGCAGCCGCAAGTAGCGAGGAGGGTTGACGGGCGAGACGCACCAGAGATGGGAGCAATGGAATCGATCGACACGTACCTAGGGAACGCACGATGACGCACATACAGACATTTACATCCGTAGCGTATGCAGAATGCATTGGATATCGCTCGTAGCCAAGCACGGCTCAGTGGTGCACAACCGCCCGTTCGTGTGAAGCGCTGCAGCTGGAACCATCGCAGACCCTCGGGTCGGGAATCAAACTCAGGCGGGTGGGGGCGCTAACAGCGGCCGCCCCCCTCTACCAGAGAGAGGGGGCGTCCATAAATGACGTCACGTACCTAGGGGGGGGGGGGGGCAGACATATGTGACGATGTGTGACGAGGGGGGGGGGTTGGAGAAATCTGACGTCAGATCAAAATGCGCAACTTTAAATTAATATAGACGACACGTTCTACTTAATTAAAGATCCTTTTTGATAAATGTTTTCTCCTACAACATCAGAGTGCAGCGCCACATTAAATACGCACTACAATGACAATAGTTTAAAGCGACTTGAAGCATTTTTTATTTTTTGGGGGGGGGGGGCAGAGCTTTGTGACGTCATATTTGAGGAGGGGGGTCTGACTTTTTGTGACGCCGTGTGACGAAGGGGCGTGGCCGCTGGGCAGGTGCCGCGAATGACGGCGCAGGTGGAGGCTGCGCTAATTATAGCAAGACAAAGATCCCCCGTGTAGCCTTGACAGACTGTTGGGGCAAGTGCTGTTAGCGAGCACCTGTGAAGGCCAGAACGGCACACGAGGGGGTGGGTGGCCAGCACCACGCCCGGCCGCCTTTGTCCCCCCTGATGGCGATGTTTACACACCGCACAAGAAACTCATTTGAGGCTGAGTCGACCTAGGGGAGGCCCAGGACCGGTCACAGATAATCGTCACTGATGTTGGCCGTGAACGGGAGTCGAACTCAGGTCGCCAGGTTCGTAGCGCAGCGCGCTGACCGCTACACGATCGCTAAATGTCACAGTGATATCACCGATACCCTTGTAACACGACTACATTGCTGTTTTTGTAATTGTCACTCCACTTGTTTATAAAGCAGGAAAGACTCAGCGTGTCTCAAGACCTTCGAAGGAGGGTCCTGCTCGGTTTTCATAGTGAGGGACGATGATTGCTTTATGTAATCCCAATTAAGTAATTTGTGATTAACCCGGTGACCTGGGTTCAATTCCAGGCCACGGCTAACTTCAGTGATATCTGAACCAGCCCCACACCCACACTGTGACCAGTGTGGTGAAGTATGGCCAAACAACATGTCGTGGGGAGGCCTTCGTCCAGCAGTGTAGTGACAAATGCCTGAGCTGTTTTTACGTCGTTGTTGTTGTTGTTTTATTCTGCATGGCCACCACGTGGCAATGGCGCCCGGCACGCCGCAGTAACGCGCGCGCACGTGTCGCCTGCAGAGCCTGACCCAGGCCCACTTCATCTGGATCGCGCCCATTCAGTGCGTGGGCTTGCTGGCCTTCCTCTGGCGAGAGCTGGGGCCCTTCTGCCTCGTGGGATTCGCCATTCTGCTGATCGTGACGCTGCTCCAGGCGTGGCTGGGTCACAAGATCAACTCCTACAGGTGAGGGCTGGTGGTTCGCCGCGGGCATACTCTCCTGGCCTGCCAGGGAGTCGTGGCAGCGCAGCAAGTGGGTTCATTTCCATCTGCGCCCCATCTGTACGGGGATTGAGCGAGGGGCGGCGCGCGTCCGCTCACTTTCAGAGACAAGCGCGGAGGGAAGATCAACGAGCGCATCGCCCTCACGTCGGAGGTGCTCGAGAACATCGAGGCCATCAAAGTGCACGGCTGGGAAGAGGCCATGGGGAAGCTCATCGACGAGCTGCGCAAGTAGGTGGCGCCACACCGACACGGCCGCGTCTCGCGTGCCCTCCGGCTGCGTCTCATGTGACCTCCGGCCGCGTCTCGCGTGACCTCCGGCCGCGTCTCGCGTGACCTCCGGTCGCGTCTCGCGTGCCCTCTGGCCGCGTCTCGCGTGACCTCCGGTCGCGTCTCGCGTGCCCTCTGGCCGTCCGGCCATCGGCGCAACCAGAGGCAGGCTGTTCGATTCGTTCGAGTGGCCGATTTAATGTCCCCATGAGAGGCTCACAGTCACTGATGGACTGCAGGGTAGTGGCAGACATCGTCACAGTTCCTAGGGTGCTACAGCGTTAATGCAACAAACCCAGAGAGCCAGACTAATGTACTTTACCATTCTTGTGGTTCCGTGTTGATGCCTGCAGCTAAGAGAGCCAGCCGAAGGCACCTGTAGGACTGTCAGAGTTAAGGCTCAACGTCTGAGGCTCAGAGAGCCAGACAGAGGCACCTGTGCGCTTACCCAGGGTCCAGCGGTAATGCCCCAAAGGCAGAAGAGCCGGGCTATGCCGGGCCCGGCGTGGGCACCACGGGGACGCGGCGATCTCGACCTCGCGGTGACGGCCCTCCCACCCCCCCACACCCCCCAACTCCCCCCTAGGCAGGAGCTGAAGCTGACGAGCAGAGCCTCCTACAGCAGATACTTCAACAGCGCGGCGTTCTTCTTCTCGGGCGTGTTCGTCGTGTTCGCCTCCATCCTGCCGTACGCCGTGTACAACGAGCTCACGCTGCGCCGGGTGCTCACCTCCGTCAGCTTCTTCAACGTCCTGCGCATGGCCATCACCAGGTCGCTGCCGTGGTCGCTACAGATGTGGGTCGATGCGACCGCCTCCATTGGAAAGATCCAGGTACCTCCTCCACTCCGAGTGAAAGATCCACGTTCCTCCTCCGCTCCGCGTGCATGCAGCGACTAGTGGAGCGTCCGTTTGCAAATTTTGATCCGGCTTTGTCGATAAATGGCTTCGCGAGGTGTGACGTGGCTGTGAGATGGACGTCCCTTGCGAGAGGGAACGTCTGTCTTCGATGAGGTCATTGTCCATCCTGCATCGCGCAGCCACCGCGTGAACATCGGTGCGATCGGGTGGCCAAACCAGCCAGGGACAATGCTTATCATGATGATGGTGATTGGTTTGATACAAAACCTCGTCGTTCATACAAATCGCATCTTTTACCAATTAGCAGAGGGGCCACGGACGAAGCTGGGAGGCAGCAGAATAATGGGAGCCCGATGTTGTGTGCGCTCGTTTCAGGATTTCCTGTTGCTGAAGGAGTACCGTCCGCTCGACTACAACCTCTCCACCACCGAGGTAGAGATCGTGTCCATCACGGCGTCGTGGGATCAGGTGAGCGACGCCGCCATTGTGATGTCTTCTTTATCGTTGATGAGACTGTGAACGTCCGTTTGGTGACACGGAGGGAACGTCCAGGGATTGCTGGCTGAGGCGCTCACTTGACACCTCCTGGTGGTTCACGCAGGGGCTGGGCACAGGGTTCAAAGGCCCATCGAATCTAGCGGCCAGCAACAAACAGCACTGTTAAAAAAGTTGTATTAGATGAGTGTAAAATACTTTTCTTGACGTGAGCAAGGTTATATCAGGGCTTGGTCGAAAAAAAGACGATGATGATGATGGAAGAGAAGGAATTTCGAAGTGCAGCAGTGCGAGGGAAGAAGCAGAAAAAGAAGTGAGGTGAAATTTCGATTTAAAGCTTTCGTGACTGCAGGGATTCATCGTCTTGGTTCTTTCGGTAAAGTCACGTAGAAGGGAAATAATAAAATAATAAAAATAAAACATTATAAAATACAATTATCACGACGTTTCGGCCACAACGCAAGCAGCCGTCCTCAGGTGAAGAACAGGTCTGTCGGAAAGACATGCGTCTGAATATCTTTCCGACAAACCTGTTCTTCACCTGAGGACGGCTGCTTGCGTTGTGGCCGAAACGTCGTGAGAATTTTATTTAATGTTTGATTTTTATTATTTTATTATTTCCCTTCTACGTGACTTTACCGAAAGAACCAAGAATATGAAGTGAGGTGATCGGCATTGTGGTGAATGAGTGAGTGGGTGGGTGAGTGGTGCGACACAGCACTTTGTTTCCCTGCTGCATGCAGCAGTTTCGATGATTGCCGTCGATTCGCAGATCGATGGAATCGTCCCCGAGCAAGGAAGCAAGGTGAAGAATGGAATCATCAACGTGGCCGCCACCGACCTGCCGTTCTACAAGTCGTACGTCCTGTCGGACATCAACTTCAAGCTCAACAAGGGAGAGATGCTCATCGTCATGGGCTCCTTCGGCTCGGGCAAGGTTAGTCGCCCGTCTCAGGCACGTCACCTCCATCACAGTGCACCTCTGATGAATGATAACAAACCGAGATTGAAGACTTTGTCCCACCCCATCCCTTTTCACGATGACGACCGCTTGTGTTGCGATCGAAACGTCGTAGTTTTTTGTTCTTTTATTTGAACCTATCGACTTTACCGAACCACCCAAAGAATATGAATTCCTGCAGTCACAAAAGCTTGAAGTCAATATTTAAGCAAAATACTGCTTCTCAACTTCCGCAAGGATCCGTCGAAGAGTCCGGGCTCTCGCGAGGGGGGCAGCTGAAGGTCGCCTTCATTCCCACAGCCTTCTTGATGAACACCAACAGCGGACTCCTCTCCCGCCCCTTGCCTGCGCTCTCGAGCCCTCCTTTGAGAACGTTCCGTCCGCCGTTGCAACTGTAACGAGGGTGCGAATTATTAAAAAAAACAACTAGTTATAAAATCGACCCTGCGACAGAGACCCGCCGGTATATGGAAGGGTTCCGCACACGGCCGGCCCGGCTCAGCGAGCCCGGTGGCTTGGCTGCGGCGGTTAGCGCACGAGCAGTAGAGCAGCAATAAACGAACACCAACGTCACTTGCCCCAACGGTCAGTTGAGGCTACGTGGGGGACCTTCGTCTGTGCGCACAGAGCTCGCTGCTGCTGCTCATGCTGGGGGAGCTGCTGCCGTGGGACGGCCGCGTGCGCCACAGCGGCCGCCTCTCCTTCTCCTCCCAGCAGCCGTGGATTATCAACGCCTCCGTGCAGGAGAACATCACCCTCGGCCTGCACTTGGACAAGGCCCTCCTCTGGCAGGTGCTGCGCGCCTGTGGCCTGCAAGAGGTGAGCTCTGCTCGTTTGCTGCCCGTGCTGGCCGTCCGCTTGCATGGGCCTTCATCAATTCACTGCCGGATGAAGGCCCAAGGGTCGCCAGCGGTCCCGGTTGGATCCGGAGAGCCCAGGAATGGGCATCGGTGTTGGGGCGGCAGGAGTTGATCTGTGCCGAGATCTGGTACCGGTGTCGCAGGGTAGCCCACGGGTTTGAGTCTAGACCTGGGCCGACTGAGAAACGTGTCCAGGTTTGGACTCCAGTGGAAACGGTGGCGGCCATACATGATGGCTTCCACATGTCGTGTTGATCAGTTGCTTGATCCATATTTCACCACACTGGTGCTTGTTGGTGAAGGGTGGGCAGCCAGGGACATGACTCACGATATCCGTGACCACGAATCGGAATTAGGTCGCCGGGTTCATAGGGCTGTGCATGACCTGCTGTGCCACGGGTGGTACAGCAGGTCATGCAGCAGTGGATTGACAAAGGGTTATTATTATTATTACCTAGCTTGTTAAACCCAAAGTATCATTGTTACTGATCATTTTGAGAGTCGGTGCCGGATGATCATGCCAAGTCATTGTGCCAGGTCATCGTGCTCGGTCATAGGGGGCCGTCCATAAATGACGTCACCCACCTGGGGGGGGGGGAGGTCAAACATTTGTGACGATGTGTGACTAGGGGGGGGGGGGGTTTGAGTGTGACGCCACATTAAAATGCACAACTTTAAATAAATATAGACAACACGTTCTACTTAATTAAATTGACTTAAAAAAATATTTTCTCCTACAACATCAGAGTGCAGCGCCACATTAAATAAGCACTACAATGGCAATAGTTTAAAGCGATTTGAAGCATGTTTTATTTATTGGGGGGGGGCAGAGCTTTGTGACGTCATATTTGAGCGGGGGTTTGACTTTTTGTGACGCCGTGTGACGAAGGGGGGGGGGGGTCAAAAATCGTCCAAAATCGCGTGACGTCATTTATGGACGGCCCCTAGTGCCGGGTCATCGTGCCGAGCAACCACGTGTTGGGTGTGGATGAACGTTCGTTCCTGAGCGGTCTCTTTTGTTGCTTTAGGAAATCATGAATCTGCCTCAGAAGGAGAAGACGCTGATTGGGGAGAGTGGCTTCAACCTCAGCGGCGGGCAGAGAGCGCGCATCTCGCTTGCCAGGTCCGCACGCCCACCTCTCAAACCGCCGTACAGTCGTGAAACATCCACTCACGTGTCACCTTCGGGCCTCCGTTGATGCGGCAGGGAGAGGCTGGGTGAGGCTGGGTGAGGATAGGTGAGGCTGGGTGAGCCTGGGTGAGGCTGGGTGAGGCTGGGTGAGGCTGGGTGAGGGATGGGGTGAGGCTGGGTGAGGCTGGGTGAGGATAGGTGAGGCTGGGTGAGGCTGGGTGAGGCTGGGTGAGGCTGTGTTGAGGCTGGGTGAGGGATGGGGTGAGGCTGGGTGAGGCTGGGTGACGCTGGGTGAGGCTGGGTGAGGCTGTGTTGAGGCTGGGTGAGGGATGGGGTGAGGCTGGGTGAGGCTGGGTGAGGCTGGGTGAGGCTGTGTTGAGGATGGGTGAGGATGGTTGAGGATGGGTGAGGATGGTTGAGGATGGGTGGGGCTGGGTGAGGCTGGGTGGGGCTGGGTGAGGCTGGGTGCACAGGGCTCGATCTTGAGCCCAGGGCGCAAGGCCAGCACCCCGGAGATCCTGGATTTAAATCCAAGCAGCGGGCCTGTGGTGATTAAACTGGCTTCTAAAGTTCAGAGAGTTGATGGTCTCAGCCTAGTCACAAACAAGCACGCCAAAACCACTTGTCGTACTAAATCTGTTTCTTTCATTGGCAAAAATTCATTCCAGCTCTGATAATTAATGTATCTTTTTGGTTTATCTGCATCGAGCGCCGCTTGCGAGGTGCCATGGCCCGGCGTGGGTTCCAGAGGCACTCACAGGGACCTCAGAAGGGCGACGTCTTCCAGAGGCTGTCCGCGACCATGCGTTGGTGTCACGTGGCGAGCGGAGAGTCACGATCGGCCCCGCACGGCAATGCGCCACGGGTGGTCCCGCACTGTGAGGGGTGACGATGACGACGATGATGCTTGTCACGACCAAGGCGACGCGATGTTATGAGTGACTGTGCTGCCCCTGTTGTCCTCTGTCTAGGGCCGTGTACAGAGAGGCAGATCTCTATTTGCTCGACTCTCCATTCAGCTACCTCGATGTGTCAACAGAAAAGCAAGTCTTCGAGAGGTGAACTTACGGGAAAAAATATTTCTCGCTCCGTTTGCTGCGTAACTTGCGCCCGTCGATCATTCACCTAACGCGGCGCGCGGGCTCCTTGCCGACAGCTGCATCGACGGCTTCCTGGCCAAGAAGACGCGCATCCTGGTGACGTCCAAAGTCGAGCACCTGCAGAGGGCGGACAAGGTTCTGATTCTGAACGACGGGGTCGTTTACTTCTACGGCACCTTCCCCGAGCTGCAGAAGAGCAAGCTGGAGATCCTGTCGCTCATCATGCAGGCGGAGCGCTTCGACAGCTGCAGCTCCGACCGCCGCGGCTCCATGATCACGGGCGTGCTGCGCCGTGGCTCCGCGCAGTCCGGTGACGCGGCGGCGTCACCCAACGCCGCCAGCGTCTCGGAGCCGCCCCAGGGGACGCAGTTCCCGTTCCAGGCCCAGCGGTTCTCCGTCGTCTCCGCCGCCGGGACGTCCGTCGTCGTCGCGATCCCCACGGCCGGCCCGCACGAGCCCGAGGGTCGCCGGCTGTCGCTCATCCCGGACACGGAGGATGGGAAGCAGCTGCTGCCCGCCGCCGGCGCGGGGCCCCTGCACGCCAGCAAGCGCAGGAAGTCGGTGCTGCACCTCATGTTGGGGGTATCGGCCGGCTACGAGAACACGCGGCGCGCGGCGCGCATCCAGCAGCACGCCCCGCACGGCGACCCCTTCCTGCTGCCCAGCGTCGTGCCCCAGAGGCTGCCCGCCCGCAAGTCGCTCACCAGCGTGGCGGAAGAGAGCGACGACGTTCCGGAAGACGACAACATCAAGGTGAGCGGAGTGTCTCCGTTCGTTGTGGATCGTACACGGGTGCCGAGGCCCAACGACGTCAAGCGGCCGGCAACAAACGGCGCAAAGTAGATGTCCAGTTTTTTGGTTCTTTCCGTAAAGTCACGTGGGTGTAAAATAAAATAAATCACGACGTTTCGGGCGCAACACAAGCGTCCGTCATCAGGTGGGAAATCATGGTCTGCTGCTGGTTTAAAACAGTCTGCCTCAGCAGGAGACTGTTTTGCTTTCCCACCTGATGATGATTGCTTGTGTTGCGCCCGAAACGTCGTGATTTATTTTATTTTACACCCACGTGACTTTACCGAAAGAACCAAAGAGGATGGATTCCTGCAGTCGCGCAAGCTTCAAATCAAGACAGATATCCAGTGAATTATTCATTCACAAGCGGCGCGTGTGCGGTGCTGCCCCAGGACTGCTTTGTGGACGCGGATGGCGAGGAGGGGGAGCTGGCGAGCTGGACCACGTACCGCCGCTACTTCGGCAGCAGCACCCTCTTTGGCATCGTGCTGTGCCTCAACCTGGTGCTCTTCGCGATCCAGGTACGGCCACGTCACGGCTACCATTCCACAGTATGGCCATGCCACGGTACAGTCACACCACGGTACAGTCACGCCACGGTACAGTCACACCATGGTACAGTCACACCATGGTACAGTCACACCATGGTACCACGCCACGGTACAGTCACACCACGGTACAGTCACACCATGGTACCACGCCACGGCTACAACACCACGGCTACCCCGCGGGTCGACCGGGTTCTCTAGCGCAGCGTCTCAGTCCGCACGACAAAAAAATACGTTTCTTAATGTAATATGGATATTACATTAATGTAATATGGATAAAAATGTATCAGCACTACCGCTTGGCCATGTCACTCTGTCCATTGTGGTAATAATTATTGATACATATTCTCTTCACAGGTCATGGTGTACGGAGTGGGACTATGGAACCTGCGGAGGTTGGTCCTGCGACGAATGTTCCGTGGAAACGTTTTGCTTCTGCGGTGGCGTGATTCCGCGTTCGCAATTAGCGCGATTCGGTGCCTTTGAGATGCCACTTTATGCTTCTTCTCTCACGCTGCTCCATTAAGGAATTCCCTCTCCCATCATCATCATCTTCTTCTTGGTTCTTTCGGTAAAGTCACGTAGAAGGGAAGTAATAAAATAATAAAAATAAAACATAATAAAATGATTCTCACGACGTTTCGGTCTGTCTCCCCGACAGACCTGGTCTTCACATGAGGACGGCTGCTTGCGTTGTGGCCGAAACGTCGTGAGAATTATTTTATTATGTTTTATTTCTATTATTTTATTACTTCCCTTCTTCGTGACTTTACCGAAAGAACCAAGAAGATGAATCCCTGCAGTCACGAAAGCTTTAAATCGAAAAATCATCATCTTCTCTTTCACCACAAGCTCTTCCAATTATAGCCTCGCACAAATCAAGAAAATGTTTGCGCTCTGATCTATTACAACTTCAACGGTGCTGTTTGTTGCTGGATGCTTGAGTTTTTGGGCCTTGTGGGCCAGTGCTCACTTCTCACACTTCTTAACCTCTTGCGTGCCATGCGGTTTGCCTGAAGACGGACTTGATGTGTGATGCATAACGTTCATAACGATTCATACTTTACACCGTGAGACACTGCATCACGTTCCGATTGGAACCGGCAGTCGCTCTCCTTACGCTATTTGTAATACGCTAAGTCTTTGCTCAATGTGTGGTGTTCACACAACGCGTTTTTGCTATAATGCGGTTCTACCATTAGTAAAGCACCGTTATAACACAGAACATGCACCGCTATAACACAGAACATGCACCGTTATAACGCAGAACACGCACCGTTATAACGCAGAACATGCACCGCTATAACACAGAACATGCACCGTTATAACACAGAACATGCACCGTTATAACACAGAACATGCACCGTAATAACACAGAACATGCACCGTTATAACACAGAACATGCACCGCTATAACACAGAACATGCACCGTTATAACACAGAACATGCACCGTTATAACACAGAACATGCACCGTTATAACACAGAACATGCACCGTTATAACGCAGAACATGCACCGTTATAACACAGAACATGCACCGTTATAACACAGAACATGCACCGTTATAACACAGAACACGCACCGTTATAACACAGAACATGCACCGTTATAACACAGAACATGCACCGTTATAACACAGAACATGCACCGTTATAACGCAGAACATGCACAGCTATAACACAGAACACGCACCGTTATAACACAGAACATGCACCGCTATAACACAGAACATGCACCGCTATAACACAGAACATGCACCGTTATAACACAGAACATGCACCGTTATAACACAGAACATGCACCGCTATAACACAGAACATGCACCGTTATAACGCAGAACATGCACAGCTATAACACAGAACACACACCGTTATAACGCAGAACATGCACAGCTATAACACAGAACATGCACCGTTATAACACAGAACATGCACAGCTATAACACAGAACACGCACCGTTATAACACAGAACATGCACCGTTATAACACAGAACATGCACCGCTATAACACAGAACATGCACCGTTATAACGCAGAACACGCACCGTTATAACGCAGAACACGCACCGTTATAACACAGAACATGCACCGTTATAACACAGAACATGCACCGTTATAACACAGAACATGCACCGTTATAACACAGAACATGCACCGTTATAACACAGAACATGCACCGTTATAACACAGAACATGCACCGTTATAACACAGAACATGCACCGTTATAACGCAGAACATGCACAGCTATAACACAGAACACGCACCGTTATAACACAGAACATGCACCGTTATAACACAGAACATGCACCGTTATAACACAGAACATGCACCGTTATAACACAGAACATGCACAGCTATAACACAGAACATGCACCGTTATAACACAGAACATGCACAGCTATAACACAGAACACGCACCGTTATAACACAGAACATGCACAGCTATAACACAGAACATGCACCGTTATAACACAGAACATGCACAGCTATAACACAGAACATGCACCGTTATAACGCAGAACATGCACAGCTATAACACAGAACACGCACCGTTATAACACAGAACATGCACCGTTATAACACAGAACATGCACCGTTATAACACAGAACATGCACCGTTATAACACAGAACATGCACCGCTATAACACAGAACATGCACCGTTATAACGCAGAACATGCACAGCTATAACACAGAACATGCACCGCTATAACACAGAACATGCACCGTTATAACGCAGAACATGCACAGCTATAACACAGAACATGCACCGCTATAACACAGAACATGCACCGCTATAACACAGAACATGCACCGTTATAACACAGAACACGCACCGTTATAACACAGAACATGCACCGCTATAACACAGAACACGCACCGCTATAACGCGGAACACGCACAGCTATAACACAGAACATGCACCGCTATAACGCGGAACACGCACCGTTATAACGCGGTTTCTCTGAGCGATTGATGACGAACTACGTTCTTGAGCTGGGCGGCTCAGCAGTACGATACAGTGCACGTAACGCTACAGCAACGCGGTGTTATACCGTCAGTTACCGTCCCGCCATCTCACACCGTGTGGGTACATTGCGCCTCGACCCAAAACTCGATCGTCACAAATTGGTGAAATAGTTGTCGCTCCGCACGCCGGTCGACTCTCGCCGCGGGGACCAATGGGCACGCGGTGCGAGCTCTGAACGTCCATGCGCCGAGTTTGTGTCGGTGACATAACGACTTTTTCCTGTGGTCTCTCACCTCATGCTGACTGGACAGAGCCGCCAAGGTACCGTGTCCCCTTTTACCTCGCCCGTCCATAAATGACGTCACGCACCTGGGGGGCGGGGGCGGTCAGACATTTGTGACGATGTGGGACGAGGGCGGGGGGGGGGTTTGATAAATGTGAAGTCACATCAGAATGCGCAACTTTCAATAAATATATAATTGTTATAACAACAATAATTGTTATAACAGCATTCCTACAACATCAGAGTGCAGCGCCACATTAAATACGCACTACAATGACAATAGTTTAAAGCGATTTGAAGCATGTTTTATTTTCAAAATGGAAATATGGTTTTGTGGGGGGGGGGGGGGGCGGCAGAGCTTTGTGACGTCATATTTGAGGGGGGTCTGAATTTTTGTGACGCCGTGTGACGAGGGGAGGGGGGGTGGGTCAAAAATCGTCCAAAATCGCGTGACGTCATTTATGGACGGCCCCTTATCAGCATCTTGAGTTTTTGCTATCGTATTCTTGGTTCTTTCGGTAAAGTCACATAGAAGGGAAATAATAAAATAATAAAAACAAAATAAAATTATCACGACGTTTCGGCTACAACACGAGCATCCGTCCTCAGGTGAAGAACAGGTCTGTCGGAAAGACAGCGTCCCAACGACAGCTCTGTTTCTTCACCTGAGGACGGCTGCTTGTGTTGTGGCCGAAACGTCGTGAGAATTTTATCTTATGATGTTTTAGTTGCATTATTTTATCATTTCCCTTCTACGTGACTTTACCGAAAGAACCAATAATATGAATCCCTGCAGTCACGAAAGCTTTAAATCGAAATCGTTTGCTATCGGTTAGAAGTGCTCTAGCAACATCACCGGCCAATCATGGGGTGCGGGAGTGACGCCACAGCCTTGCCGAGACGGCGCTGCTCCAGCTACACTGACGCACATCCATCATCGCGCCGATGCTGTCCCTCGCCTATTGGTGGAACAACATCGTCGTAACATCTTCCAACTCGGTTCCGTGCAACGAAAACGCTTTCACAAAGGGGTACAGCGATGGAGGCGGGGCACAAACTGATGGAACGCGCTCGTTTAAAAAAAAAAGATTGTAATGTACGAATTTAAAATCAATCGCGATTGATTTTAAATTACATTTTTGTTTTACTATCGAAGCTTCAAGTTCAGTAAATCTAGCTGTGACGGTCCCACCTGATGAAAAAGACTTGTGTTGCCTCCGAAACGTCGTGATTTATTATTTTATTTTATTTGTGTGTGTCTAAGAGAGAGCATATTCTTAGGTTTTTTCGGTAAAGTCACGTAGGTAAAAAAATTAAAATTAATAAAAGTAAAATAAAAATGAAATAAAAATCACGACGTTTCGGAGGCAACACAAGCTTCCGTCTTCAGGTGGAACCATCACAGCACGATAGCTGTATCACTTGATATTTATTTTATTTAACTTTTATTAAATGTAATTTTTTTACCTACGTGACTTTACCGAAAAAACCTAAGAGTATGAATCCTTGCAGTCACGAAAGCTTCAAATCTAGAATCTTCTAATTCCAGTGGAACGTCGTCGTGGCAGGCGGCCCACGCGAGCCGCTCGTCTTTGTGCCGGGTCTTCCCTTCCGTGTCGCTTTGTGCACACGTGTTGACGACGGTGGCGGACACGCAGTGACGGCCGTCATGACAGCGCGTGACGCGTGTGAATGCGCCCCAGTCAAGAAGACCGCGTGAACACGACGCGGCCCGACAACGGCACGGATGGCGTCCAAAGCTTCACGGACAACTACTACTACTTCTACATCTACGTGGGACTGGCCGACAGCTTTTTCGTGCTGGACCCCATCCGGGGGCTGCTGCTCATCCACTCGGCGATCCGCGTGTCGGACACTCTGAGCCGCGGAATGCTGCGCGCCATCCTGCACGCGCCCGCCTCCTTCTTCCTGGAGAAGCAGCCAGGCACGAGCTCCCCTCTACCCCCCTCGCACTCCTCGCCGCATCGCCCCCTCGCCCCCTCGCTCACTCACCCCTCGCTGACTCACCCACGCGGGCACCCGTGCGCCCACCGACGAGCCCACTGATGCGCGCACTGAATCGTGTACGCAGCCACTCAGCCCCCTCGATCATGCACACAGTCACCCACGCACCCACTCACGCACTCACTCGCTCACCTAGTCACTCACCCAGACACCCACTCACGCACCCACTCGCTCACCCAGTCACGCACACACCCACTCACGCACCCACTCGCTCACCCAGTCACCCACGCACCCACCCGCTCACCCAGTCACCCACGAACCCACTCACGCACTCACTCGCTCACCCAGTCACTCACCCAGACACCCACTCACGCACCCACTCGCTCACCCAGTCACGCACACACCCACTCACGCACCCACTCGCTCACCCAGTCACCCACCCACTCGCTCACCCAGTCACCCACCCACTCGCTCACCCAGTCACCCACGGACCCACTCACACACTCACTCGCTCACTCACCCAGTCATGCACACACTCACACACTCACTCACTCGCTCACCCAGTCACGCACCCACTCACGCACTCACTCGCTCACCCAGTCACGCACACACCCACTCACACACTCACTCGCTCACCCAGTCACCCACGGACCCACTCACTCACTGAATCATGCACTCACTCGCTCACCCAGTCACGCACACACCCACTCACACACTGACTCACGCACTCACTCGCTCATCCAGTCACGCACACACCCATTCACGCACTCACTTACGCACTCACTCGCTCACCCAGGCACGCACACACCCACTCACACACCCACTCACGCACTCACTCGCTCACCCAGGCACGCACACACCCACTCACCCACTCACGCACTCACTCGCTCACCCAAGCACGCACACACACACTCACACACTCACGCACTCACTCGCTCACCCAGTCACGCACACACCCACTCACACACCCACTCACGCACTCACTCGCTCACCCAGGCACGCACACACCCACTCACACACCCACTCACGCACTCACTCGCTCACCCAGGCACGCACACACCCACTCACCCACTCACGCACTCACTCGCTCACCCAAGCACGCACACACACACTCACACACTCACGCACTCACTCGCTCACCCAGTCGCGCACACACCCACTCACACACCCACTCACGCACTCACTCGCTCACCCAGGCACGCAAACACCCACTCACACACTCACTCACGCACTCACTCGCTCACCCAGTCACGCACACACCCACTCACACACCCACTCACACACTCACTCACGCACTCACACACTCACTGACACACCCACTCACGCACTCGCTCATGCACGCACCCAACCACCCTTTAACTCACGCACGCACTCACGCGCCCACTCATCCAAACACCCACTCACAAAGGTCACCCATAAAGCCTTAGCAGATTGTTAGGCAAGTGCTGCTAGCGAGCACCTATTAAAAGCCGACACGAGGAGGTGAGTGGCCAGCACAACGCCCGGCGCCACCTTTGCACTCCCAGTACTGATGTTAACGGAGGAACCGCGATCATGAATCCCACTTTAACGCGACACTGTTTCTGTTTCTCTAGGCTACATCATCAACCGCTTTTCAAAAGATGTGGCCATCACCGATGATCAGCTCCCACTGGCAATATTCGATTACTTCCAGGTGAGTTCTGTTGTGTGTGTCTAAGAGAGAGCATTTGTGCCTGTATGTGTCTCTGTATGTGCCGTGCCGGTCTTCATAGGCGCTTGCTAACAGCGCTTGCCCCAAAAGTTTATTAAGGCTACACGGGGGATCTTTGTCTTTATGTGTGAGTGAGGAGCAGTGTTGCAGAGTAGTTGACCCGCTGCGCTACGAATCCGACGACCCGAGTTCGATTCCCACTCACGGCCAACACCCGTGACGATTAATCTGAACCAGTCCTGCACCTCCCTTAGGTCGACTCAGCCTCAAATGAGTCCTTAGCTGGTGTGGTGCGTGGCCACTGACGCTCCCACTCCGCAGCTGTTCCTCATCGTGCTGGGCGCGGTGACCGTGGTGAGCGCCATGATCCCGTGGACGATGCTCGTCACGCTGCCTCTCGGCATCAGCTGCATGATCCTGCGCCACTACTTCCTGAGGACGTTCCGCCAGCTCAAGCAGATGGAGTCGGAAGGTGAGGCGAACACGCGCGTGTCGCGGTTACATCTAGTCCAACACCATGTGAGACTAGGCTCTAAGGAAAGCTGTCTCGGGTGTGGACCAATCAACTTCAAGGACAGTGCACATTATCAGAGTTGTGTTTTTTGTTTGCATTATGGCTGCAGGTATTGTGGTCTATGCAAACATGACTCCTTGTAAAAAGGTGTCAGTTTTGTTGCCAGATAGAAGGGTTAAACAACCAATTATCATATTATTACTGGCAAATTAGGTTCCAATGGTGAGGTGGGAACAAGTAAAGGTGCGGGCCAGACCCGCCCCTAGGGTACACGGCAAATCGGGGCGACCACCCCGGGCCCCGCGCTTTGGGGGGCCCCGTGCTTCGACGTCACGGTGTCAGATGTAACACTCCCGGTTTGGTTTGAAGGCGTCGGGTGGCCCACGCGGTGGGATTTGCCCTGAGGCCCTCCCACCCCCCCACCCTGGGTGCAGCCTGCCGTAGATTGCTAAGGGCCCTGCTAGCTGACGCGTGGCCAGTACGTCAGCGCGAGAGGTTGAACAGTATCGAGATTGGGCACGAGTTCGAGGTGATATTGCCTTTTACCCAGTGACAATAAACCTTACTCACCACGTACAGCGTAAGCATTAGGAGGGTCAATTACTCAGAGACGGGCCTAAAAGCCAAAAGTGGAAGCGATGGGGCCTTCAGAGGAAGGGATGGGGTCTATGATGATGATGATGATGTAGCAGCCAGGCAGCTCAGGGTAGAGCGAGGGGCTCGCAATTGGAAGGTTGCGAGTTGAAATCCTGGCTGTGGGGGTTGACTCATCATCCCTATGTGGGTTGATAAAGTGAATATCACTTTGCGGAGAAGTCAACAGTGGTTGTACTCTGGATCGACTCGCCCACGTCCTAGTCATGTGGAATTTCCACCGCTGGCTTCTGGCAGTAAGAAAGGGGATGAGCACCGACTCATTGCTCGTTGGAGCGGGAGATCGCTCAGACACTCGATGTCAAGTACAAGTGTAATAAAGGTCGTGGAAGCGACTTCTGGAATCCGGTCTTTATTTGTCTTTCGTTCACAACACTCCCATCTTACTCCTTCACGCTGCTGACAGACAGCGTGAGAGGGAGAGAGAGAGAGACACGCGCGGCCACGTGGCAGCCTGGACCCCGCTCCAGCGTGGCCTCACCCTCCGTTCATTCCAGATCTGACCACGTGTTGTCCGTCTCCACCCCTTTAAATACCCGGGTCATGTGGTACCTTTCCACCAATCCTGGTTAACCTCCATGGAATCTTCTAGACTCCATCGTACGATCCCAGGACCGCGCCCCTGACTCGTCCCCCCATTGGCTGTGGCTAAAGCCAGCAGATCCAATCCTCTACATACAGATGTCACCTTCCAATTACGTCAGGGCCACGCCCCTAGACTTCCCCCCATTGGCTATGGGCCAGGACCGGTAGAGCCAATCATCGTAACGAGGTGTGATCCATCAACCACCCGGATATATGCTCACATTACACAAGGAATGCTGCTGCCCGTGTGTGCACCTCTGCTAAGCCGTGTGTTTTGTTCCCATGTGCTTTTTTCCACAGCCAAAAACCCAATCTTTGCTCACATTGTCGCCACTCTGAAAGGGCTGTGGACGATCAGGGCTTTCAGCCGAGACGACTACTTTGAAAACATCTTCCACCAAGCCCTGGACATCCACACGGCCACCTGGTTCCTCTACCTCTCCGCCCTTCGCTGGTTCCAGATGCGAATCGACATCATTTTCACACTGTTCATCACGGCGGTGACGTTCATTTCCGTGGGGGTGAAGGGTCAGTCCTTGCCCCTCACCCTGCTCCCACGAGACGCCCACGTTTCACACACACACACACAACTCTCTTCTTGTTGTTGTTATTACGTGTAGCGTTTTACTCCAGGGATGGTTAAACTAAACTAGTTTCTATTTTACCAGGCCACAAGTGATAGCTCGACGAAGTGGCTTAACACGTGGAAATGTAATGCAACCAAATACTATAAAGTAGTTTGTTAAATATCTTTGGGACTGAAGAGCAGAGTTATTATCATTGTTGAATGCCTAAAGTTGTAGGTTTGCGTGTGGTTTCATGCACCTGCCCCCTGCTTCTAAGGCAGCAGCGTACACAACAACACAACACTGACCGGCCTTTGTCAATATAATAACGCTGCCGCTTGTTGTCACAGGTTACAGCGAAGGCTCCATTGCCATTGCGCTCACGCTGGCCATGAACATCATGAGCACCTTCCAGTGGGCCATCAACACCAGCATCGAGGTGGAGGGCATGGTGAGTGCTGGCCACAGCGCCGTTCGCCCCGCTTTAATTGAGTACCTGGTGCTGTGTGTAAACGTCATCATTCGGGAGACAAATGTGCTGGCCACCCGCCTCCTCGTGTCCCCCTGCCAGCTTTCATAAGTGCTGGCTTACAGCACTTACCCCAGAAGTCTGTTAAGGCTATCCGGGGGATCTTAATCTTTGATGATGCAGTGCGTCTAATGAGTGAATCGCGTGATGCACTCAGATGCGTTCCACGGAGCGGATTTTGCGCTTCATGGACATCCCGGAGGAGAGCAGTGGCTTCGTGGTGACGCCGCCGCCGCCGGACTGGCCCAATGCCGGCCACCTGGAGGTGGTGAACCTTTCCATGCGGCACTCGCCGACAGCGCCGTACGTGCTCCAGAACATCTCCTTCAACGTCCAGCAGGGACAGAAGGTGCTCCACGCTGCTTGCTTCACGATGGCCGTGCGAGGCATATGGCCGCCACCATTTGCACCGTAGACCAAACCCAGACGCACTTCTCAAGACGGCCGAGGCCTATGATCAAAACTGTGCAGTGAAGTGTGATGACAGAGTTCCACACAATGTCGGTACCAGGACTCTCGGCAAAAATCAACTCCCGCCGCCCAAAGACAAATGCCAATTCCGGAATTGGACTGCACAGTACAAACAGAACATTTACAAGAATGATTGTGGAAAGGAAAGTTGAATTTCTGGGACGTGTAATGAGAAAATAGGAGACTGAACATGAATATGTTTTTACTGGTGCAGGGAGCCGGGGAAGACAGTGATTAAGTTACACTGTAAGCAATTTGAATGACTGGATGCAACTGGGAGGAGTATCTGATACAGAGTTTGTGAGTAAATACCACGGACAGAGCCGAATGTAAGGAGGTCACAGTCGCCGACATGAGAGAGGACTGTACCAGGTCCAACCGGCCAGGTAGTGACCCTGGTGAGGTGGCGCTCCGGCGTTTTGGAGGCAAGGGTTGACGGCTCACAGATCTGTGAAACTCGCTAACCCACTGGGCGACGAGGACGCCAAGAGAGGGTGGTGCGCAGAGGTCGCAACCGGGTACCCGATACCCGTACCCTACCCGATACCCGGCTACCCGTACCCGGCCGGGTACGGGTACGGGCACCCGTTTGCGACCCTGGTGCAGCCGGGTACAGGTACAGGTAAGGAATCCAAACCCGTTTGCGACCTCTGGCGGTGCGGCAAGCGGGCTCGCGAACCCGGCGTGGCCGCACGGGGCGTGACCGGCGCCGTTGCGTCTCCGCACAGATGGGAATCCTGGGCCGCACGGGCGCGGGGAAGAGCACGCTGCTCGCGTGCCTGCTGCTGCAGAGGGACGTGGAGGGAGAGGTGCGCATCGACGGCCTGTCGGCGCGTAACGTGGCACCCTACACGTGGAGGTCGGCGTTCCAGGTCATCACGCAGGTGAGGAGGAACGTTTACCGGTGGCCTCTGGGTAGCACGTTGAGTGCGTTAGCCATGATGCCGTGGCAGCAGTTGGGAGTCGTGAGCAGTCAAGAAAATTTTGAGAAAGCACGACCGTGTTCACCAACATCGGCCGGTGACATTCCTCCCGGGTTGAACGTTTGCACGTCCAGGTCTGGACATGCCTAGGGTAGGTGGCGTTGCCGAACGGCGTCGCTCGTCCCGTGAAGCGGAGCCTGGCGCTGCTCGATTTGGGCGGATCGTGACCGTCCCTCTTCACGCTTTTTACAAAACTCAAACGCTGCTCGTTTCTCTTTTGCAGAAAATATTTATTTTTACCGGAACGTTAAGGAAAAATCTGGATCCGTACGGACGATGCAACGATGAAGAAATATGGAAAGCCATTGACCTGGTGAGTCCATGTTGCACGCGGGCGGTACAAGAGTGACGACCTACAGTTACTTTCAATTCACAAGTTCTTCCCCAGCTAGCCGTACACATTTGTCCCGTCGGTGTTGCAACGTCTTACTGCCAGAAGCGTTTAGTCTCCTGGGCCAGACACAGGAGCCACTTCAGGACACCTGCTCTCTCAACGCACAAACCCATGCAGCTCACCTCCCGTAAATGTCAGTCGCTTTGGCCGCTGCCGTAACCTTTAACTTGAATGACGCAACTTGGCTGCCCACGACACCATGGCATGCCATTACCACCATGTTAGAAATACCCAGAATGCATTGTGCAGCTGTGATGTCGCTTTCCACAGGAGTTTTTCAACGTTACACGCAACCGCTACACAATTACAGCGCCGGAATGAGACGTCATGCAACCACAACCACAATGCCTCCTCTGCCTTTCGCCTTAAAGAACTCCCCGTGACCGGGCCGGCAGTCATTCCTCGCGCTCCTTGCCCAGCGTGCATCGCACCGGCTCGGATTAACCGCCGGGTCCGGTTAGAAACAGCTGCATGGCTTCGCCACCGTGCCGCCGTGAGCGACCAGTGCTTTCACGCCACCGCATAGTCAACCGCGCCGCGCCCGTGCAGCCCGGCGGGTAACGGAGCCGCACGGGTCTCCGGGCTGTCCACCGACCCTCGCCCGCGGAGCGCTGATGCCACGCGCTACCCTTGCGATGGTGCGCCGCAGGCGGGGCTGCGCGACGTGGTGGAGGCGCTGCCTGGAGGGCTCGACGTCATGCTGGTGGAGGGCGGGTGGGTGCTGAGCGAAGGGCAGAAGCAGCTCCTCTCGCTGGTGCGCTGCCTCCTCTACAAGGCCCGGATCCTGCTGCTGGACGAGCCCACGGCAAACCTCGACCAGATGTGCGTGAGCCCCCCCCCCCCGCGGTGCAGTACGTGGGACACCGCGTGGGTCGAAACCACTCCAGGGCTTTGCTTGTGGAGAGAATCAATGCTGCTGAAATGATGCACTCCCGCAAGGCTGCGTGGTTGATGGGATGTCTAAATGCTGTCGTGTTTTACGCGCACGCAGAGATGTGGGAAAGAGTCGAATTGTGTGCGTCTTAATATTGTTGTTCATATTGTTACTCCGCACCGACGCTCGCTCTAGCGGAGATACTCCTTTGTCCTTCACAATTAAAGCCATCTCTGGGAATGTTTGTGGGTGTGATGGTGGTGGTTTTATGTTTGGGAAAAACGATGTGAAAATCTGAAGAAAATACAACAGCAAAGCGATCTTGTATAAATTGGAGAGAGAGAAAATTTGATGGTGTAGCCCAATGCCCCTCTGCGGTGAAACGTTACAGTGAGTGCGTATCAGGGCCTTTACTGCCAAGATTTCACGATCTCTAAATACAGTATTGCAATGTTACAAGCAAGTCTCTCAAGCCATTTTCATAGCCACTACATTATCACGTGGTGTTTTAAAATGAAATCCAGAATGAACATTGCATGTAGGTTGTGTAATAACAAGAACGGCTCTGATACGATCAAGATATAACCTATATCACTGGGAATGTTTAAAATTAAAGGTGTCACACTCTGCGAGTTGCCCGTCTGGTGAGTGATGAAGAGCTGACCCCCGTGTGTGTGCGTGTCCACTCGCTTCGTCTTATGTCTGCAGAACGGCACAGATCATGATGAGGATCATTCGTAAGGAATTTAAGGACTGCACCATCTTGGTCTCGGAGCACAGGATCCGCGCCATTTACGACTGCAATCAGATCCTTGTGAGTAGTTCATCATCGTCTTCTTGGTTCTTTCGGTAAAGTCACGGAGAAGGAAATAATAAAATAATACAAATAAAACATAATAAAATAATTCTCACGACGTTTCGGCCACAACGCAAGCAGCCGTCTGCTTGCTTGCGTTGTGGCCGAAACGTCGTGAGAATTATTTTATTATGTTTAATTTTTATCATTTTATTATTTCCCTTCTCCGTGACTTTACCGAAAGAACCAAGAAGATGAATCCCTGCAGTCACGAAAGCTTTAAATCGACATATAGTTGATCATCATGATCGCCGTCATCATCACCATTGGTCCAAGCAGGCCTGACACTGCTGATGAGACAATGGATGTCGAACACGGTCCATAGTTTGCTTGCGTTGACCCAATGCTGCTGAAATTACGCACTTCCAGAAAGGCTGTGTGGCTAATAGGATGTGTAAAACATGTTTTATTTGGAGGAACAGATATGGGAAGGAGACAAACCATCTGCGTATTCATGATCATCACGATTAGCTAATATTCTCTATCCACTGCTGTATTGCCATTTCCCAAGCCAGCCCCATTATCGGTTGTCCTGTGCAACTGCAATGATAGTGCCCAAGCCCGGCAAGTCTCATCCATCAGTTTCCCTGTTAGCCGTGTCCCCTGCAAATGTGTTTGCCATCGCTTCATCTGGAATCTTTAAAGAGAAATTCGCCAGGGTAACGTTATCTTCATTCTCGAGCCCACTGTCCTGATTTGGTGACACACCCCTTGTCCGTGCTGAGGCCGCATGCACCACCCACGTAGGAGAAAACTCAGCTCCCGTCCGATTATCTGATCAAATAATTCCTCTCGTCCGCAAATAACTGCGCTATGAATCCAGCGACAATACCTGACCACGGCTAATATTAGTGGTGAGCGATATCTGGACCGGTGCTGGGCATCCCCCTACTACTCACCCAGACTGAACCAGCGTGGCAGGGGATGGTCAGAACAACTCCCATGACCAAAATGGCATGGAGAGGCCTTCATCCAGCATTGGATTGACAGATGGCTGCACTGTATGTTGTTATTATTATCTTGCAATATTAATCGTAGATAATATATCTAATTTTCTGTGATGTTTCTCTTATTTGCGAAGCCGGTTACACAAAGGAAGCAAACGCGGACGACACTGAGCTTAGTTTTCCTGCCCCAGCCAACGGCATGGCCGAGGAAATGTATACTTTTCCTGGTGCCTTCACCCGACTCGTTTTCCTTTTCCAGGCCCGTGCCTGGCTACAGCGAAAACACAAAAGGTGGCAATCAGAATTAGAATATTTATACTGGAGGAATCCGATGAGCTATACAACTCTTTTTCACAGATGTCCATTAGTTGTCCAACCAGCCTTGGGTGCGACCACCGGTGTGGACTTGAACCCGAGGCCGCCTCTGTGTGACACCCGCAGGTCCTGGAGGACGGAAAAGTGAGGGAGTACGGGACGGCGCAGATGGTGTTCAAGAAGAGCGCCCTGTTCCGCGAGTTCGTGCCGGACGCGGGCTCGTTCCGGGGTCACCCCGTGAGGAGCAGCATGACCCTCAGACACTCCATCAAGCACATCTCCCTCCAGGAGGAGCTGGCCGAAGACGACGTCATACAAGAGACGAGGCTCTAGCTCACGACACCGGCGGGGATGAAAGTATTTCCGCAGTTTTGTTGGTGAGCCTCGCTTGGAGGATTTTTGTAAAAGTGCGTCTGTGTGTGAGTGTGTGCGCAAAGTTGGTGCGTGTGGATATCCAGCAGGTGGAGCGGTGGCACAGTGGTTAGTGCACCGCACTACGAACCCGGCGACCTAGGTTTGATTCCTGACCATAGCTAACAATAATGGCGAATGCCTGAACCGTCCTAGGCCTTCACCAAGTGGACTTGGCTTTAATTAGCACGTGGTGCAATGTGTTTGCATCAGCATTGGACAGATGAAGAGTGCCGGGTCGCGGCCTTAATAGGTGCTTGCTTCAGAGCACCTGCCCCAACAATCTAAATGAGGCTATATGGGGATCTTTGTCAGGCACAGAGTGCAGCCCAGATGTGCGAGCGGTTAACACCATATCAAGTTCAAGTTCATTTATTAGGTATAGCCCTGTGAGCCATTCGGCTCTTGAATCGGGTGCAACAAAAAACAAAAAACATGAACAAAAACATCTTAAAGTGAATATGTGACTAAGTGCAAATAGAAAATCCAAGAAAAGACAGCAAAATATTGCAGAAAAAAGACACCGTACACCAACGCTGTGTGCAAAAATCCTAGTGGGATGCAAGTCAAACAACAACAACAACCATAAGACAATATGAAGTTGGAGATCGTCTATAATGCAGCTAATGTTTCTGGTTAATAATTGCTACAATGTCTAAAGAGATGTTTTCATGAGATTGTAATCATCACATCTATTTTGTTTGTAAACGAGAGTAGTGAAGGTGGTAATTGCGACTGTAGACACCTGCCATTCACAACTTGCATGGGACTTGTTTCCCATTCTTGAAAAGTGAAAGTCCCCGGGTTTGACGCACGTGCAAGGGCTATCCACAACGCAGTCTGGCTCACGGTTGGAGAACCGTTGCCCTGCTGGGGTCCAAACAAACCGAGCCTTCCAGATCCCTGAGGCGGGCTGGCACACATGGGCACCTGCCGCAGTGTTATCCAATAGCGAGGCGACAATAACTTGGGCTCACTTTCACCGTGGTGACAGATATGACTGAGCAAGGCAAAAATTAGAAACAGCGTCGTCAGATCCACACGTTTTCCCTCCAGCGTTCGATTAGCGCAGCCGAGATGCTCGCAGTGACGGATAAATATTGCTCGCGGTCCGTTGGCCAACTCCTCGTTGGCCTCATGTGGCAGCGGGCTGGACGAAGCGAAGTCACGGGCCAGGTGCGGCCCAGGGCCGTAGGCTCCACACCCCTAGGCTAGCGTGCCGCGGTAGCGCACGCGATGCGCGCACGAGGAGGACACGTGGAAGATCTCGCTCGGCACCGGCGCACGGAGTTCGTGCTTCGTCAGTGTCTCGTGAGGTACGGCAACAACTCGATTGTCCCAAATACTAGAGACAGCAAAACACAGCAGCAGGAGCTCACAGGCACAGCGCGAACAGCCGGCCGTCATTTGAGGCTATCAACCGTCCTGTTTTGGCCAGGACACCGCTGTTCCGGTGTCCTGAAGTGTTTCCAAAAAAATTGGGATTTTTTTTTCCCGGTTTAAAATTTTCTGGCTTCATGCATGAATCTTGGTTTGGGCAAACGGCGGGGCTACCTGAATATTGGGCGGGGTTGATAGAGTCGGCTAGGCTTCTGAGCAGCAGGCGGAGTCAACATCGAATAGCGAATCCGTGCGCTGTGCGTGTGAAGCTCGCGAATAAGTGGGCATGGCTTCCTTCAAGTGGGAGGGGCTGACCGAGGGAAGGGCCTCACAGGCATGTTAGTAGATTTAGTCACGTGGGGCGAGGTTGAAGCTGTGATGGAAGGGTCGTTGTTGTCGATGTTTCTCGTTGTGTCTGTGCTCATGTAATTCAGTGTCTACTGCCAGCAAGTTCTGTAAGTGGCGGCTTCCCGTGACACTTTTTATATTGAACTTCGTTTTTTCTAATTCTTGTGTTGACTCGTCCAGATTATTTAGATTTCTGGATCAGCGGTGACCATGTTAGTGTGGCTTTACTGTATTCGTGTTGCTGTACTGCCTATAAGAGGGAAGCTAGATGTGAACTCAAAGGGCGCTAATCACGAGTTGCTTCCCAGCTGAGCACTGCTCAGAGCACTGTGTTCACTTTTGCAGAGCGTTGAGTCTTCACGCATGTACAGATGCTATCAGTTAAAGTCAGGCTCCAATCTGTCCGGGTTTGAGCCGCACACTCCGGGAATTGGCATCTGTGTTTGTGTGTATACCGATATCTGCTACCGGTCTTCTGTTCCAACTTTACTGCAGGACACTGCGCCGTTTTTCAGCGACCTTGGCTGACTGCGAAATACGTCTGGGTTTGGTCGACTGTGGAAACAGTGGCAGCCCGAATTTAAAGGAGGTGAAAATAATGTTACCGGCAACTGATATTGTACTCGATTTACACCCCCCAGAAGGCGTTTTAAAGCAACCTTTTGCTATGCAAGTGGAGAACGAGGGCTAGGGTTTGTCGACAAGAGGGTCTCGCCACGAGCTCGGTTTGTCAGTGTCGTGCATGACCAAGCGAAATGAACAAATGCGGCGTGTCGTGTTCCCGACCCGGTGACCCCGTCGTCCTGTGTGCCCCCTCGCGCAAAGCCGCCACTTGAAACTGCCCCGGGGCAGATGGGGCGACTGAGCACGGGGCTTCTGAGTTCGTGGCTCGTGCTGGCTATGTGCCCGACTTACGCCGCTGAACTAAAATTCTGTAATGAAGAACAAAATGTTGTTATGTCTGAACGGAAAGGGCTGTCGCCTGCGCGGACTGCCGGCAGTGACATGGAACGAGAATGGTGCCACTTCGCGAGAGAAATGTTACACAAGCTTCTTTTTTTAGGTTTTATGTTCGCGCAAAGCAGCATAACGACCTTGGAAGAGCCCGATGGGACAAAAGGCAAATGAGAGCATGAGACATTTCAGTCACTGTTAGGAAAAGACAGCGCGTATGACCAGAAGTGATTCTCTGAGCGCTACGCACACACCGCACGCACTCGTTACTGTGAAGAGGTGAGTAACCTCGCTAACTGGCGGTCAGTCACCTCCCTGTCGCTCTTCCATCGCTACTCCCATGACTACTGGTCCCATGAATTTCACTGATCATGGATTCTTCCATCCGTGCCGAAGACTCGGCGGGGCACACCGAGCGTATATCTCACCCACACCGTGGTTAGCGGCCGCGCTGCAGGGCAACGTGGTGTCCGTGCAGGTGTTTGTTGAGTCGTCTGTGTCGGTGTGACAATTTCGCACGATTGTTGGAGATAATTGTCACGCTTGATCTTCTTGGTTCTTTCGGTAAAGTCACGTAGAAGGGAAATAATAAAATAATGTATTTTATTTTTTTTATTTTTATTCTTTTATTATTTCCCTTCTACGTGACTTTACCGAAAGAACCAAGAAGATGAATCCCTGCAGTCAAGAAAGCTTTAAATCGAAAAATGTCACGCTTGAGTTTGTTGAAGATTTTCTCGTGGGATCTTACCCCCGATTGTATTAAGCATCTCGGCGTCCTGTCCTGTACGTATGTATGTTGAACTTCTTTCGTACCATACGTAGCCAATCGTGCAGAATCAGGCCAGCTCTCCTCGAATGAATGACACCAGCTTCTCAAGCGCAGTGAGTTGGTGGGCTCAGCCCGGTTACCAAAGGCTGTGCTAAACCACGATCACACTGCACTTTGCTTTCATTTAATTAGTAAAATTATAGCTGAGATAAAAAAAAACATACTCTTTGGTTTTTTCGGTAAAGTCACGTGGGTGAAAATAAAATAAAAATGAAAACAACTATATTTTTATTTTATTTTCACCTACGTGACTTTACCGAAAAAACCAAAGAGTATGGATCCTTGCAGTCACGAAAACTTCAAATCTAGAAATAAAAAAACATGTTTTGAAGAACATCCCTTGCGTACAATGCGTGTAAACCTGCAATGCCCTTCACGTGGCAAAGAGGCGATTTGATGTCCTAACTGGCAGTGATATCACCTTCCACTGGGTGGTGCACTGTTGTCTGCAAGAGTTTCGAAGGAAACACTCATCTTGCGACGCGACAATGGAATATAATTGAGAAAATACGATTGTGTTCTCGAAGTTGTCGAGATCGCTACCACCACCAACAGGATGTATGCTGCCAGTGGTATAGTTGAATGCAGATTTGACAAACTGACTTCATTTATAATTTTCAGCGGCACTGGACAGTTCGATGTTGTATGGGGCCGTCCATAAATAAATGACGTCACGCGATTTTGGACAATTTTTGACCCCCCCCCCTCGTCACACGGCGTCACAAAAGTCAGACCCCCCCTCAAATATGACGTCACAAAGCTCTCCCTCCCCCCCACAAAAAAACATGCTTCAAATCGCTTTAAACTATTGTCATTGTAGTGCGTATTTAATGTGCCGCTGCACTCTGATGTTGTAGGAGAAAACATTTATTAAAAAAAAGTCTATTTAATTAAGTAGAACGTGGTGTTTATATGTATTTAAAGTTGTGCATTTTTACGTGACGTCACATTTCTCAAACCCCCTTCCCCTCGTCACACATCGTCACAAATGTCTGACCCCCCCCCCCCAGGTGCGTGACGTCATTTATGGACGGCCCCTATGAAATACTGTGGTGTTATGCGGTTTCGAAAGTAGCTCGCTGCTGACTGGAGCTGCTGTCTGCGCGTAACCATTCGCCACGTGCACTTCTTTGATCCTTCCATTTCACTCGCAAGTTTTAAACGCGTGGAATGAGAGACGCAGACGTAAAGAGTGCGAGTGCAAATGTGTCCTGATCGTGCGTTGTATATGTTACTTGTAAGGCTCCATACATTTGCGGTGATCTGATTCCGTCTTTTTTTAACGACATTTTATCAGACGGCAGTGAGTGTGGCGGCTACACCGCGCGGAACGCAACTCGGTTCACAACTCCATGGAGAACCATGGAGTTGTTTCTACATCAACACCCTTAGCAGCGCCGACCCTATTACAGACCAATTCAGACCTTATTGGTCACCCCGTGCCCTCATACATCTCAACGTTCATCCTACAAAGTCCCATCGCGAGGGAGAAACGGTTGTACGCCGTATGGACCTGGAAACTCAATTTCCGTGTGCAAGAATGCGGGGTAAACCGTATGGGTTGACAGGTATGGGATTGGCTTGCTCGAATACCAACCCTGTGTAGAAGACGAGACATTTCTGTGTTGAATCCTGATGCAAGCTCTGGATAAACGTTAATTTACAGTTTGATACGTGTTGAATAACTTGATCTTTATAAAGCTGTTTTGTATATTTTGTATATAAAATAAAACTGGACAGTTTAACCGACAGTGCCTCCTCATTCGCTGTGCGGTGGCTACGTGGTGGTGATCTCAGGGCCTGATGGGTCCAGAACTGTGCACGGGACGCCTTACAGAGAAGGGTCGCTGTGAACCCCTCGTCACCAACTTCCTGGACATTCCCCGACAATGCCAACCGATGTCGTTTTGGGCCAAAGTTGCACAAATGTTGATCGCTTTATTTGTAAATGCCAAGTGCATACATCAGTTGTGTTTATGCCGAGTATCATGTCGTGACCAGTGCCGGATTATCCTAGTAGCAAAAGTAGCTGCATATGCTACGGACCCCGCACTTTCAAGGGCCCCGCGCGAAATGCTTTCAAGCTATCAATTCCGGTTCAGTGATTCTGCACTTGCTCTATTACTATAGTACTATACTGCGTTCAACTTTTATGAACGACTGGGTGTTGAAGGTTATCGATTTCTTGTATTATCTGGCTATATAGAAAGTGAGAAATACAATTACTTTGCTATGCAAGTTACACATTTGTGTGTGAATATTTATGGGTTTTTTTATTTAGGGCCCCTTTATAAAATATGCTACAGGCCCGCACTCGCTTCATCCGGCACTGATCGTGACTCGTGGTCCGGCTCGCCCTTGCCTGGAACTGCCTGCTGGCCTCCACCGAGATCCACCTCGGCTCCACCACTCGGCTCCACCACTCGGCTCCACCACACGAGAGCGGCTTCACCTCCCCCAACTACCTCGCGCTGCCTAGCCGAGTACAGTGGGACACCCTTCTAGCTTAGCCAGTGCCGCAGCTCAGTTTACCATTGAAGTGTTACAGGTTCGCGTTGTGCATGAACAGGTTGTCGAGTGTTGTAGCCTCGCGTTGACTTGGCGATGCAGAACTTTAGTGTTCTTCTTGGTTGTTTCGGTAAAGTCACGTAGAAGGGAAATAATAAAATAATAAAAACAATACATAATAAAATGAAAGTATTTTTATTATTTTATTATTTCCCTTCTACGTGACTTTACCGAAAGAACCAAGAAGATGCATCCCTGCAGTCACGAAAGCTTTAAATCGATACTTTAGTGTTAGTTGCAGTGCCGGCGAGTGGAGGTGCCGGACAGATCTCCGTGCAGTGCCAGGAAGAGAAGGCGCCTGGGAACGCACTCTGAGCGCAGCATGGCCGTGCAGCCACCACTCTGTCTCTTCTCGTTCCGGAGACCCTCGGGCTCTGTGAGCGTGTGGTGGACCCCTGCGCCTTGCCCGCCTTGGGCCAAAACCCGCGGCTCTGCGACTCTCCCTACCAGCCACATACAGGCCCGACTCAGTCATCACATGCTGCTGTACACACATGCATTGATGCACTGCACAGCACATCAGGACTTTCACAGAACCACACTTTACTCCCTTGCTGCACAAGGACATCATTAATAGAGTGATCCATTCCTAATATGCCACACTGGGCTATGCCGAGACCTGGGAGCTTGCGATTTGTGTGGCCCTTACCTGGGCCTGGGTCCGTGACTGTGCAGTGAAGTCGGAACGTTTGACAGTTAGACATTAAGACTGGGTTGATCTCGTTATTACTTCACCAAGTACACTTTCCATTGCCGTGGACGTAGATCGTGTCGCCCTATAACCCGATATACCCTTGCATATTCCTTTGTATTGTTCTTCGCGAACGCTACACGAAGTCTATTTGCCTGGACCATTGCCCTGGCATGTTTAACTTGGCGCCCCGGATTTCGAAAAAGTGAGACTTTGTACAACTTGCACTGTGGTTTGTTTCCATTCGAGCAGCACAATTCAGGAGGTGAGGTTGAAAGTGTGGAGAGAATCCAGCTGTGACTGGGACTCCGCCCCGAGTCGATGGATGTCCGTTTGGTTTCCTTACCACCGTGGTGGACCCCTTTACAGAGAGGGGGTTTGGGAATTTGTCCAAGTTCACCTTTCAGAAGGAATAGCCCCCAATCCCGAGCCGACCCCCACGATACAACATAAATAAGCAGTTCTAAATTTGAAGCTTTTTTGACTGCAAGGATTCATACTCTTAGTTCTTTCGGTAAAGTCGCGTAGGTAAAAAATGAAATTAAAATTAATAAAAATAAAATAAAAAATCACGACGTTTCGGAGGCAACACAAGTCTCCGTCATCAGGTGGGACCGTCACAGCCAGATTTGCTGCATCAAGTGAGGCAGGGGTTCAAGATGCAAGCCCTCTCCTCCCCTCTTAACTTGTATTTAAGGGCTTGCATCTTGAATCCCTGCCTCACTTTATGCAGCAAATCTGGCTGTGACGGTCCCACCTGATGACGGAGACTTGTGTTGCCTCCGAAACGTCGTGATTTTTATTTTAGTTAATTTTAATTTCATTTTTTACCTACGTGACTTTACCGAAAGAACTAAGAGTATAAATAAGCAGACAATGTTTACGCCTCATTCACACACATCCATCCTACCGCCCACATTCCGTGTCTCACGCGGAATCCCCCCTCTTACCAAACCCCGTCTCTTCGCACGTGCATAGCAATGTCTTCCAGCAGCATCAGTGTGAGCGAGCAAAGTGGCTTCCACTTTCCGCGTCTCATCAGCGTGGACTCGTGTAAGTGCTGCGGTGTTGCTCGTTACTACAATTGCAGGCGAGAGGTCTCCCTCTCTCGAGCGCACAGACAGCACTCGTGTCAGGGCAGGGCTGGTATCAACAACAGCCGCACCGCTGCCCCGTCGAGCCCCTTCTCACGCTGCGGACTGCCGCTGGTTCCCATCGGCTGGGTCATCGCTCTGGGTCAGGGAGGAGGAATGCGCCCCGAGCAGAGGGGGGGCTGCTGCTGCTGCTGCTCCTGGGCGCAACATCAACAACACAGCGCTGGGTGCACATCAGCTGCAGGCTCTACGCCACATCTCCATCCTTTGTTCTTTGTCAAGGTTTTGCGATCGACGCACTCTCGCCCATCATCTGAACGCGGCCCCAACTCTCCGTTCACATGACCAGCGAGCCGGAGTTGGAACCGAGCCCAGAGCCGGGGCAGAGCTTGGCGCGGCGGCGGCTGCGGCGGCGGCACGACCCTGGCTGGGCCGCCTCTTCCCCGCGCAACATGGCGCGCTTGGCAGTGCTCTGCGCGCTGCTGCTGATGCTGTTGATGCTCTCCGGCTACAAGCTCGCGCTGTGCGCGGGGCGCTCGCTGGTAGCCGCGCTCGTCGTGCGGGCCGTGGTGGTGATGGCCAAGTGGGGGCCCGCCGCTCCGGGTCCGGCACCGCCCCTGATCGGGAGCGCCTTGAGCTTGGACTTCAACTCAATGATCGGCTCTTTCGCTAGCGTGAGAGACGCAGTGCTCATGGCACGGATGGTGTCCAGTGTTGTTGTTTGTGTAGCACTGCCATCGCAGCAGCATCGCCGACAAGTAGACCTGTTGATTTATTCATATTCTTGGTTCTTTCGGTAAAGTCACGTAGAAAGGAAATAATAAAAATAAAACAATACAATTCTCACGACGTTTCGATTGCAACACGAGCAATCGTCATCAGGTGTGAAACCCACAGCTAGAAAGTTTGAAAGAACCAAGAATATGAATCCCTGCAGTCACGAAAGCTTTAAATCGAAATGTTTATTTATTGTTAGTCATCAAATAATTTTCCACCTGGATAATCCCGAGCGGAGTAACATCTCGGGGGTTTGTTACATTTATTGAGCAAAGGCCCAAAACTCCAAGTAGGACAGTGCTCGTAATGGGCGTCGCCCTTGCAAACGAAACGTTCCATCACAAGGGATTTTTTCTCCCAGGTGAAAAATATTTGAATTGAAATCAATTGAACCGAACGTGCGAGAGGATGGAGTAGGACACAACTCGGAAGTTCCTTTCAGAGCGTGGCGTAAAGACAACAAACGTTGATGTTCATCGGAAAGCGGAAGTTGCCCTGGGCGAGACACGTGTGCAGGATCGGGCTTAAGATGGGCCAAGCAAACGGTGGGGTTGGCACGGAGCGTGACGACACGAGAGAGAGAGTTTGTAGATATCCCGTGGGGCGGGTGAGTAATTCAGATTGTTACGCGCGTGTCGCCGGTGGCGGTCTCATCCCCGGTGGCGATGCACGCGTGTCCAGCATCCGTCCCCCCAATGTTGTTTTGCAGCTCGCGAAAAAGTACGGGAACGTGTTCCAAGTAAAGTCCGTGGTGGTGCTGCCCGGGTACGAGACCATCAGCCACGACGAGCTGTTTGAGGAGCGCCCGGTCATGCCCATGTTCGAGCACATGTTGGAAGGGCACGGTATGGCAGCAGCAGTCAGGCATAGATCGTCGTAGATAGTCATAGGGGCCGTCCGTAAATGGCGTCACGCACATGGGGGGGGGGGCGGGGTCAGACATTTGTGACGATGTGTGACGAGGGGGAGGGGTGAGAAATGTGACGTCACATCAAAATGCGCAACTTTAAATAAATATAGACAACACGTTCTACTTAATGAAATATACTTTTTAATAAATGTTTTCTCCTACAGCATCAGAGTACAGCGGCATATTAAATACGCACTACAATGACAATAGTTTAAAGCGATTGGAAACATGTTTTATTTTGGGGGGGGGGCAGAGCTTTGTGACGTCATATTTGAGGGGGGGGATCTGAATTTTTGTGACGCCGTGTGACGAGGGTGGGGTCAAAAATCGTCCAAAATCGCGTGACGTCATTTATGGACGGCCCCTTAGCGCATTGCACTCTGAACCAATTTCGAATCCTGACCATGGCTTATCATCAGTGGTTACATCTTCCACGACTTCCACCACATTCCGTATAAACCAGTTTGGTGAAGTATGACCAAACAACCCCAAAGACCGAAACGGCATGGGGGAGGCCACCAATCGGCAGTGGATGTACAAGGAGCTGTACACGAGTAGTGAAGCACTCGGAGACGCAGTCTTGATCATTTATATTTATTTACAAATGGTCCACTTGACTCGACGACACAGTTACAGATGGCCGTAGGTTGACTTTATACAAGTTGGACGACTTGTATGTAGTTGCTGCTACACGACGTTGGCTATACAG